TCAAATTTTAGAGCAGTATTTGAGGTGTACCATCAACTATCATCAAGATTATTGGACAACTCTTTTGTCATTGATAGAGTTTACACACAATAATTCTATACATTCTTCTATTCAATGAACACCTTTTTTTGCCAATTATGGTTATAATCCATGACTTGATATTTTTGAATTTTTAAAAGTTGATAATCCTATGGCGAAAGATTTAGCAAATCATTTGTCAAAGCTGTATACAACAATGAAGATATAATTAAAAGAAACTCAAGGACGACAAAAGACCAATGCAAATGCCTATTGCAAGGACTAACCACAATTCAACGTGAGTGACAAGGTATGGTTACTTTGTCACAATATCAAAACTACTCGTTCTTATGATAAATTGGACTATTGTAGGTTGGGACCTTTTTCTATTTGTGAAAAAATCAATCCTATTGCTTATTGATTACATCTATCGAAGTTTATGAAGATCCACCCCGTATTTCATATGTCCCTTCTTTAGTTGTATAAGACTGTGAATATTTTGAGAAGAAGATAAATACCACCTCCTACTATAGAAGTAGATAATAATCAAAAGTTCAAGGTAGAAGAAGTCTTAGACTCAAGGCACTCTCAAAATAGGTTGGAATATCTTATTCATTGGCACGGATATGATATTAGTAAATGTACATAGGAGCCATTAAAAAATCTTGTAAATGAAGCAAAGAGAGTTGAAGCTTTTCATCAATGAAATCTATCAAAATCAAGATGAAGAATAACAAATCTTTATTATGAAAGAAAGAAGATAACATTCTACTTTCTATCTTTTTTTGTAGCTTATGTATATGTGTGACGCTAAAGAGATGGAGAACCAACAACAAGTAGATTCAACTCAAGAGCTTTCATTTGCGGACTTACCAAATTAGACATTGTGATTGTTACAACCTTTGAAAGGACAAAATCGAGATGAAGATTCTCAAGAATGTCATGTCTTTCCTCAAATAGATAGCGAGATGCAACATATTTGATATCACAACCTTGGAAGAGACTCTCGTTATTTGGTGATTTTATTAAAAATAAGAACAATGCTTGATGGTATTCCAAATATTTTATTTGAAAGAAGTTATGAAGGCCACAACAATGACGAAATTAGAAGGTGGTCTTCTCGCCCTAGTATGGAATATTATCGATGGCTGAGAAGGCCTATCAACTATCTTCGAAGAGAGCAAAGATTGAAGTATGTGGCAAATATAATTTGCCACATTTTGGACTTCCTCAACATATGAAAACCGCTCTTCATGGAACTCGTCCTTAAAAGAGGAGGTAATATCATGAACATATACATTTATCCCAATAATTACTTACATAATTAGATGAAAGTAAGTAAATATAGATTAATTTCATAAAGTCCTCTAGGAAAGCTTCCTACAAGCTTTATAGATGTGGTTTTCATCTTAGATGTATTTATAGGATAGAAACTTGGCCAACAAATTATCCATGTGTTGGTAGCTTGTGGAACAAATTAACTCAGTGTAGTAGCTTGTAGAACAAGCTAATTGTGTGGCGCATACATAAATAACTTGCCTTACAAGTTAAGACATGTGGCTAGCAAAGTTAACATATTTTGGAGGTCTTATAAGACATTGTCATATAGCTCCTACTTAAGAGTATATATGGAGGCAAGAGTGAAACCTTCTTTAGTCTTGTCAACACCTTTTTAGTCCTTAATCTTATGCCCAAACTTTCTAGTCTTCTTGTCTTTGGCAATAGCCATTCTAATTCAATAATATATCATCTTTGAGTGACTTTCTAGTTCTTTTTAGTAACATAAGAATGTATTGAGGATTTTCTTTCTTTGAGATTCGTATCCTTAACAATAATCCACAACTTCTAATACACTTGTATCTTATTGTAAATAAATGCATAAATAATCTACTCTTAATCAAGAATGATACAACTCTCACATTCTAAATACACTTCTTTTAATATGTCAATGAGAAGAACTTGGAAGAAGATAAATGAAACAAATTAGAAATTATGTTAAAGATAATAAAAATAAATAAAAAAATATGTGTATTCCAAAAGAAACTAGAATAATTATTGCCAAAGATAAAAAAAAGACTAGAGATTATTGAAACTAGTCTAAAATCAAAAAAACATTGTCAATAATAAAGAGGGCTTCATTTATGCTTCCATATATATTATCTAACTAAAGAAGTATGTGGTGGTATTTTATAAGTCATCTAATATGTATCTAACCAGAGAATACTTATATAATTCTCAAGACAAGTCTCCAATATGTGCACCACATAGCCAATTTCTATTACAAGTAGTCATCATGTATGATATGTAGTCAACTTATGAAACAAGTGGTCAACATATATAATACATGGCCAACTTGTTGGTTAAGTTTTTAAAATATAAATCATCTACAAATACTTGTAAAGTCAAATTTGTATTAATAAATCTTTTGAAAAGCTTTGCACTAAGATATTATCGAATTGACCTACTTTTATATACTTCTACATAATTCTTTTTATCTTCTTAATTTTAATATTGATGATCATGTCAACTATAGATATAACTTTTTATACATTAGTCCATTACTATAAAAAAAATTGATATTAATTTTTTTGTAATTATAAATTTATCAAAAAAATTAAAAAATAATAATATAAATAGATTGTATAAAACACAATTTTGACTACTTATAGATACTTTGTAAATTTTCATCATATATAACAAATTCATCTTGTCTTTGTTATTTGTTGCATTGCTTAAAAGATAAGATTTATAATACATGTATATTAATTTTTTTCATTAAAGAATTTAGTCACAATATTTTTCATATTCTAGTGGTATTATAGATTAATTTTTATATTAATAATAAATAAATAAATAAATAATGGATTTTTATAAGAGAATAATCCAAATTTTTATTTCATAAGTCTTCTTATGTTTTTCAATGTACATTAATTTTTAGCATTAATTGACCTACATACCTTATATACATTATTATAAAAATATTATGTATTTAATTTTTAATCTATAAAGAGGAAGAGAAATAGTATAAGAAAGAATTTAACTAAAAAAATCTCTCATTACAAGTATTAATAGTTGTTTGCAAAAAAAAAAAATTGTATTTAAATTTATAAGAGATATATCTATTTTTAATTTATTTTTGTAAATATAATTAATCTTATCAATGCATTGTGCAAACAAAAGCATTTATGTAATGCTTCACAAGAGAATAAACTTAATAATTTAATTTATGTATTAGAAGTAAGGGACATGGTTATAAGGATTTAAACTTAATAATGTAATTTATGTATTAGAAGTAAGGGACATGGTTATAAGGATGTAAATCAATTTCATCTACATCACTTTTGTAACTTCAATTGTTTGTGAAATTTTGTTAAGAGTGTTTACATTGCATAAATATGTTTGTTAAAATGTGGTTTTACATTATCCATAGTTTCACATATTATTTTTCAGTATGTATATGTATATATATATATATATATATATATATTGTTTTATTTATGCATACATATACATTTCATTTTGTGTTATTGACCCTGTTGTGATTTCTAGCTGTATGAATTCAATTTATATCACATGTTCTCATGTTACACACAAATGCACAACAAAAATTTATTATTATTTTAACATACATTGTTTAAGATGTACGTAGTTATTTTAGATTGTGGAATTACAAATGGTATTTAGAGAATGATGCCTACAGTATGTAATAGACATATATATTGTGCTTCAATGCCTCCATATTAGAACATAAGTACTATTTGAACTTGAGGATTGACTAACCATCAAATTGGAAAGGCTTTGAAGTTGTGTGACTGCTAAAACAAACATTTTTAGTGATGATATTATTTTTGGTTCTGTTGACATATCTTCAAATCAACTTAATGTCATGAATGTTATTCTGTATTGAATATTGTTGGAATGTATGAAAATGAAATGTGCATACTCAAAGAATTTTAATTGATTGATTGAAGATGGATAATAGCTACAAATATTACAATTATGTTAAAAAAGAATGTATAAAAGAATGTATAAAAGAATGTAATAAATAAATAACAATTGATATCATTTTACAGACATAAAAGGTGATGTTTAAAATCATATTTAACAGAATCTACATGATATTATTATTAATATTGTTCTAATTACATCCTCGGTTTTTAGTATACTATTCAAATCTTTGTAAAAGAATAATTGACAAAAACATGAAATTTGCATGAAATGTTTTTTTTTTAGTTCATTATAATAAATTAGAAATACCTTTATGAAAGTAGGAAAAAAAATTAAAAAATTAAAAAAATTCTATAAATTATGATTCATTGATTTTGACCTGAGTTATAAATTCATGTTGGTAAAATTAGAAATTGAAAAATGATGATTCAAGAGATATGATAAACTGTAAAATACTCAAATTCACATCTGACATACTTTTATGGTACTCAAAGTTAAACTCATTTAAAATTAAATAAGATATTATAGTTATTATTAGTATTATTGACATAATGGTAAGAATGATGTATCAAAATTTATGATGGTTTAGTATTTTTGTGAAAACATTTTTGAAGAAAACTTATTGGTCTTTTAGATTTTAAGACTAAATTATCCTATTCAATTTTTATTTATTTATATTATTTATTTGTATTATTTCATTTAAATTTACATATATTGGAATAGGAAGCAATCCAACTATGAATAATGGGTCATGATGCCAGAGCATGATAGTTCATGATGTGTGATTAATGCCCCGTCAGCATTCTGAACTAATACTCCCCTCCATACAAAATGGCTGCCCAACCTTCCGATTTGGGAACACGTTCCCAATCCGGAGTTCCCCACAGGAATCTTGGGGCTCTTCCATTCTTTCACGAACCACGCGCCCCTGGTTAGCATCGCGGTTCCGAGCCTGGTCTGCCCTTGTCTTCCGGCCCGTGCGTCGCTTGATTCAGCCACGCGGCACGAGCGACTTTTTTCGTGCTTATTATTTTGCAAAGCCTGCGTCTATTGTTCAATCGTGTGCTGGTCGAGTTGCTTTGGCCTGGAATTGTTATCTCCATAGCTGGGGCTGCTGTTGAGCTTCGTTTCATTGCCTGGCTCGCTTGACGCGCTGCTCTCTCTGCAACGAATTCGATTTATTCCTCAGGTACTTATATTCAATCTCTTCTCTACGCCACATTTTGAGATAAATTTATCGCGTTCTGTAATGGATGGCAGAGGGTGTGTGGATCATACTATTTTCGGCGCGTGTGATAGATGTGATATGTTGTGCATTTTGAGCTGTGGAGCTTGCGGAGTGGTACCGTGTTTGCGGAGTTGTAGTCGGCGTTTTGGCGTTGTTCATCTTGCAGGGTGTTTATGGCCGGGTTCGTCCAAGACATGGTTCTGGGAACAGAGTATGGTGTTCTGTGTCTGCAGTGTGTTTATTGTGTGCATGTATTCATTTGTTTTTGTTGATGTCTTTTTCTGGTTGTGTTGTGGATGGTGATTCGAATTGTGGAGAGAGGGGAATGTTCTGGCAATTGGCGTTTGTCGTGCATGCTGAAGGATTTAGGATCGCTTTTGGGAGTGTAATTAGCGTATTCCGACGTGCGAGATGTCTTGATTGTGGATCTCAGGAGCTGACTCGCTATCCAGCGCACACCCGTGGATTTTATCCTTTTGAAGTATCCTCGTCTGGGAATGAACCTGTGACTGGTATTGGAGCGTAGATGTCTTGCACTTGAAGGTTAGCAGTGCCGCGATTTGATGCAAATGCGCGTCGAACACGATTGAAGATTGAAAGTTAAACCTGAAATTGGGGCGTAGGCTTAGGTGAAATGAGTCAATGGTGTTCGTTATCCGGCTATGTTTTGAGATCACATTAATGTGCTTTACCAGTCTTGCAAGATTACTGAACTTTCCAAGTCCGCGAGGCATCTGCCAACTGTTTCCGAGCAGAGATCTAAGCCCAAAGGGCCTTAAAGATTGAAGGTTATGCACTATCTCAAGAAGCTGCTTAAGAATGTAGTTGCATTACTGCAAGTTGAGGTGTATGGACGAGTAAACTTCCTGACACCACATAGCACTATTCCTCCAGATTGTTCACATGTCAGATGTTGTAGCCACGCAGAATGTTTTACACATTCACGCCGCTTTTGTACGAATTATCCGTGGACTTCTCTTTGCTGGAGTGAGGAATCAATCGCAGATTTCACGGCAATTCTGTTTTGAAATGTTGTATACATCTTAAAGCATGATCGGATGAATTTTGCAATTTCACCTTCTGTTTGAAGATGCGTTCTGGAATGACATTATGACTGTGATGGTGCTGAATCTTGGACCCCAGTCTGATAAGTGACATGCGTGACAGCGTTTGTGTTTGTGGTCAGCTGGTTGTTGGGGATTTTGACAGTGTCTGCATTCTGAAAAATTATAACTTGTATATTTATGATCGAGGGACATTCAGAAATGGATTTTGACGGTGTGTTCACTCTACAACGTGGGATTTGATATGTTGAGGATCGGTTGAAGTTGGGCAGAAAAGGGTAGAAAAAATTCACGCCGAGGGTTGACAATTAAGTATCATTCTTACATATTTTTTTAAAAAAATTGTGTCCAGAAAAAATGTTCCTCAAGGACGGTGATTACTCATACTGAGATTATTTTCTGGAATATAATTTAGGGGAATCAGAGACAGTGCATATGCCATCGCCAAGAAATTTCTTCTGGTCTCATGCCACGCATCTTCTACGTCGCTGTGGCAGACAGCCGGATGGTGTAAGCTCTCAGCGAAGCCTGTATTCTGCGGCTCCAATTGCAGACCTTATTGCACCACCTCTTGGAGCTAATTTCTGGGGTATTGGTTGCAGCAGGTGATTTCCTAACTTAGAAGTGTATGGGTGTATTTGCCTCTGAGATCCTGTGCATAACTTGCTCTCAGATTTGACTCGTTTGATGTCGTTAGAGATATTTAGGAATTGAATAGTCTAACTGAGTGAGGTGGGGAATAGGAGGCATCGAAACCTTCCTGCCATGGAGAATCAGGTAAAAGGGATGATGAGCGGAGGTCTGGATGTGTCGGACCTGAAAAATGCGAACACTGTTGGAGGCGGTGTAGGCGACACTTTTGGGGAAGATGCAGCTACTGAAGAGCAGCCGTTCACGCCGTGGGCTCGCATTGTAGCGAGGTAGTTGTTTTTTCCTATCTATAGTTAATTGGGAAATCATGAGAAATGCGGTGCTCGTAAAATTTTCCCTTCAACTTATGTTAGGGTGTATTGTTCAACATTTTAAATTAGTGTTGCATTGCGAGCTGGAGGGTCATCCATCAGTACCAGGTCCAACTTATCTTGGTTTCTGAATTTCTTCTGTTTGATTGTGCGAGTTCCTTCGCACCAGCCTTACGTTGCTTTTGTACATCTCTGTGCTATTAATCACAGTTTTGCTTTCAGAATTTACATTTCGCAACAATCTTTTTTTAGTATGTTATTGATTTTGCAAAATAAGATGGGATGGAAATTGATATTCATATGTTTTCATTCTTGGAATGACCAGTGGGTTGGAGTTATTGAGAGATCCACGATATAACAAAGGACTTGCGTTCACTGAAGTGGAGCGCGATCGACACTACCTCAGGGGTCTTCTTCCTCCCACCGTTATCTCACAAGAATTGCAGGTTGTTTATAACGTGCTTTGACATATAATGTTCAAATACTGGGGTATTAAAGTGTTATACTGATATGAGTGGAACTTTGGAAGGATGATGCTTCAATAATACAGCAAGTAATGCAAACAGTAGATGAATTTTCTATTGTTTAAGTTCCCCCTGAATTTGTTGAAATGAATTTGCTTAACTTTGGATATGGGGCCTTTGTCATTCTATGGATCTAAGTTCACATAAGACCTCATTCATTGATCATTGCCTGATGTTTTTTTAGGTTGAGCGTATTCTTGAGAATGTTCGGTCGTACCAAAATCCCCTCGAAAAGTACATTGCTTTGATGGATTTGCAGGTGCCCGTTCCCTGATACCGTGGATTCTCTTGGTTTACTCATTTCTATCCTTGTTAGTTTGATGAGATGTATTGGGATCAATATGTGTCTCGTCGGTGTTCATGCGCTGGTATCCTTTTTTGAACATTTTAATTGTCTTGTAGTCAATTTAGTTTTGGAGCTGAAATTTGCTTGTAGTATTTTGGGTATCCAATTTCCAAATATAGATATTCATAAACTATCGAAAGGAGCTAGTTCATGAGTAAAAATCCTAATAACGGTAGTGCTTACTGGTTGTTAAACTTAATGATTTCAATAAATCACAGGAACGGAACGAGAGGTTATTCTACAAAGTTCTGATAGACCATGTAGAGGAGCTTCTGCCAATTGTTTATACTCCTGTTGTAGGAGAAGCTTGTCAGAAGTACGGCAATATCTTTCGTCGCCCGCATGGCCTCTACATCAGTCTCAAGGATAGGTTAAGACACCCCCTGTCATTTTGTTGGTTTATGACTCTAACCTGCTTTTCAAAAAGTAAATTCAAAAAACAAAAAAATAAATTGTAATTTATAAAATTTTATATCATTATGAATCTATTCTCTCCCTGCGATGTATCCAGTTCAGGCACATTTCAGTGGGTTGTGTATTGCTCGTGATTTAACTTTCTTGACTTGATATATCCATCTCGCTTTAAAGTGGTTATCAGTTTTCGGAGTGAGAATTATGACAATACAGCCTGGAACGGTTGCTGTACAGGGGTCATGTGCTAGAACTTCTCAAGAACTGGCCTGAAAAGAATGTCGAAGTGATTGTTGTGACTGACGGCGAACGTATTCTGGGACTCGGTGACCTTGGGTTAAATGTACGTTTCTTTTCTCTCATTTGTTTTTCAGAATCGAAATGTTAAAAATGGTTTTGAACTCTTTTCCTGAGGTTGGGTAGGACCGATGTAATTTTCTGGAAATGGCACTTCCAAAATTTCGGTAGTATTCTCAGTCACATATTTCTCACCTTATCTACAACATCTGGTTTTTTCCATGGCCCAGCAGTATGTTGTATGTTTTCTCTGATTTACTAAACTATCTACGTGTGTATATCACATAGGTGATTAGTTCAACATTTTCTTTTCGCATGACACTGTTTTATCCTTTATCAATGCCGCCATTTGTGGTTTTTGTGCCAGGGGATGGGCATTCCAATTGGAAAACTAGCTTTGTATACGGCCCTAGGTGGAGTTCGACCCTCTTCTGTAAGTTCCACCTCCTATCAACCTCCGAGTATTTAAAATTCAAAATTTTGGTTCACTTGACAAAGCAGTAAGCAATTGAAATGTTATCTTTTCATTTCTGTTTCCCTCCTATTTTGTGTTGGTGAGTTTTGTTCTTGTTAGTTATCTTGCTAAAAGAACGAATCGATGGGTTTGGGAGGAGGACAGACATTACCTATTGCCATCGACGTGGGTACCAATAATGAAGCTCTTCTCAAGAACCCCTTCTACATCGGTTTGCGGCAGAGGCGAACTACAGGCCAAGTAATATTGGCAGAACATTACTTGAAATAGCCACAGATCACAGTTTGTACAATGGTTGCTGAACATTCTGTTTGAATTCCTTAAGCACATAACCTTTGTCTTGGTACTGCTTGTAAGCCAAGATTGGAGCATCGCATCTTTATCATGCTTGTTTCTAAAATGTACTTGCATTGAACCTCAATTAATTCATTCACCCTTTTTCTCTTTTGAGCCTCGCAATTCCCTTTCTTATCAAGATATTGTGGGAACAGGAGTATGATGAATTATTACACGAGTTCATGATCGCTTGCAAGCAAGCCTATGGAGAAAAAGTTCTCATTCAGGTAATATGTCTGAAATTCGGAATCTGTACGTCAAGCACTTGTGACTGCTCTATGCCTATTTCAAGGCGTGCCTGCTAGGTTAGCATGTGCCACATTTGTGACACTTAAATCTTCTTATAGACTGAGATTTGCTTTTTCTAACTGTACTTCATGTTGTCAACTGAATTAAGAATGATATTCATATTTTCGTGTACCTTTGCTGATGCAATATTCTCATGAAGTCTTGCCATGCTGGGGGGTTGTGGCACAGTTCGAAGATTTTGCAAACCACAATGCATTCCGGCTGCTTCAGAAGTATGCAACTACACATCTTGTCTTCAATGATGATATCCAGGTTCTCATCCGAAACGTGTCTGCTCCTTTTTTAAGGATTTATTGATCCAGTATCTAGTCTAATTGTCCATACAAAGATGCTCCTCATTTAGTGTTATAGAAGGCAACATGTGGGTATCTTTCTAAAATTTTATTAAGTCTGATGAAAGTAATACTCTTCGATTGTATGCTCTTTGTACTGTCAACCTGCGTAGAGATCTTCAAAGGTTGATGGGAAAGTGAATGCAGGGAACTGCTGCAGTGGCACTTGCAGGACTGGTGGCGGCATTACCCATAACAGGAGGCACGCTTGCTGATCACAAATTCCTGTTCCTAGGTGCTGGTGAAGTATGTTTATTACCCTCACTCATCTTTGTTGATGTGTTTTGTGTATCTTTTATGTGTAGCTTGTGGCCTTGCTCAATCAAGAATGCTGTCTGACGTATTTTTGTACCAATTTTAACAGAGTTGCACTTACCATAAGCTTCTGAGTAGTCATAAGCTTTAAAGAAAGTTTCAGAGCCTGTATACTTCGTTAACTCAGGATTTAGTCCAAGTGATTACATATTATCTTATTTTGAATAAAATTTAGAATTTATCCTCTTTCGCAAATCAGCGTTTCAAAACTGGTAAGTACTCGGAAACAAAGCTTGAGGTTGAGACAATGTTTGATATTGCGTGATCTATCCAGGCAGGTACAGGTATTGCTGAAATTATCGCCTTAGAAGTATCCAAACAGGTTGGTTTCCTTCCTTGACAACTTGTGTCGACACATGATTGTTATCGGGCATGAATGGACTACCAATTAGTCTTGCCAAAGGAGCTCAATTTTTACCTCTGTATTTAGGCGAAGTTAGAAAGGACCATTTAGTTTGTGCTAATGAAAAAAAATAACTTTTCATAGAGGAGCCAACACGTAAGCAAATGTTATCCCTAACAAAATTATTTTCCTTGTGAACTCTTAACACGATATGTGTTTCACTTCTGCCACCCATATATAATTCTGTCGTAACAGGCCATAAGAATTCCAATGAAGATTAGAAGTGGGCTTTATGGTACTCTTTGCTGTAGTCATCAGGTATGCGGCCTTCAATGAATTGTAGTAAATAAAAAAGTGCTTAATGATGCTTAATTCGTGCATTTCAAGGTTAAACAACTCTAAGGTACGTACGGTAATTACGGACAAGAATGTGATGTAGTCGCATGATTTTGATACAACTGAAAGGTGTGTATTGCAGGGGAAAATTACTGTTGAAGAAGCACGTAAAGCAATTCACCTTGTGGATTCCAAGGTACGATGAGACTTCAGCTGTTCAAGTCGCATAAGTAAATTGAGATCTATCTACGTGAATGTCTTAAGTACTGCATTATGTTCCCCTATAGCTTATATTTCATATTGGACTTTATATTTTGCAGGGTCTTGTGACCAAGTCACGGTATGAATCCTTACAAGAGCACAAGAGGCCCTACGCTCATGAACATCCTCCTGCCCATGACCTTCTATCTGCTGTCAAGGTGACCGGATAACTGCAATAAACACTTGCACTTACTTTTGTCATGTTTCTTAATTTTGTACTTCCTTGAACCCTGGATGTAAAAAGAAAAGCAAGAGCTCACGAATATTGTGTTCAATGGCCATCAAATATGGGATCAATAAATCCTTATTCTGGGTAGTTTAATCTGCTCAGGTTTTGAAGCCCACCGTGTTGATTGGAACTTCTGGGAAGGGTGGAACTTTTACCAAGGAAGTTCTGGAGGAGGTTTCTTCATACCAGGATGTGAGTTCTTTTATTTTCTTTTTGTCTTGCAATGCAGCCTTGCAGATCGTTTTTTAATCCAAATATGGGCGTATTTTTGTAGATTTTGCTTCGGTTGCTTTTGGAGTTTAGGGTCGGAGACGGTCTAGGTTGCTGGATTTTTAATGTTGTACAATGTAGCTGTAAAATTGATGTACTAAACTTCTTTTTTCCTTTCTGTCAAAAGTTTGACGTTTAGGACTTGGACAGTTCCTGTGCAAAGTAGGCTGAAGGTCATCATTTGTAGAATATTTTGAGAATTGTTTTGAGATTGAGTTGCTTATTTCCAATGGGTTGTGCAGAAACCGATTATCATGGCGCTTTCCAACCCGACCTCTCAGTCTGAATGTACAGCAGAGGAAGCTTACAAGTATACTAAGGTGTGGCTTCAGTCCATTTTTTACACACTTGCATTGCTTTGAACTTTTCCCTGGTAAGCCTGGCTTTGAGATGTAAGACGCCGACAAAGTACAGTTCTTGTGGATCGACTACACAATGGTTGTTGTACAATGAACTGTAAGATGGATTAGTGTCTCCTTGCTTATATTTGAAAATGCAGGGGAAATGCATCTTTGCCAGTGGAAGTCCATTTTCGCCAGTAACATATGAGGGTAAAACGTATGTAATTGGGCAGGTACGGACTTCTTGCTCAACAGATGGGATATATGTGCACTGTCCCGAGTTATGTTTTTCTAAGAATAGTAATTCAATTAAGAATTTTTCTTTTATCTAAGACCTACATGTCACCACTGTATAGACAATTGCTGAAGACGGCGCTGGGTTACTGTATGGATTGATCTCTCCTGGGGCCATTAGTAAGGGGCTTTTAGACTGCCTGGTGTTAACTTAAATTTAAACATATTATGTTGTGCAGTCCAACAATTGCTACATCTTCCCCGGCATGGGGCTTGGGTGCACTATTTCGGGAGCTATTCGTGTCCACGATGATATGTTCCTGGCAGCTGGTATGTCGTCTCCTTCTGATTTCGACTTTCTTTCTATCTTCTACCTCCGCTTCGTCTTCCACTTCACATCACCTGTCACTTAGAGCTTTCTGGCTTGTTTGTAGCGGAGGCTCTTGCAAAGCAGATTAATGAGGAGCATCTTGCCAAGAACCAACTTTACCCAGCATTCAACGAAATACGCGAGATCTCAGCACATATTGGTGCAGCAGTAGCCGCGAAGGCCTATGAATTAGGTAATGTTGTACTTCTCTTTCCCACTTTCTGTGGTTGTATTTTTCATGTTATAAAACATTTGGGATTTGTAACATCCTTTTGGGACTGATGGGCTGCAGGATTGGCAACGAAGCTACCGCAGCCTAAGGATCTATTCGCTTATGCCAAGAGCTGCATGTACAGTCCGAATTATCGCCAATATCGGTAGGGGTTTCTCCAGACCAAGAATAGTGTGCGACTTTTCGCAGTATGCAGATGGTGCAGAATGTATTTTGTGCGTCTGGGAACATATAACTAGGAGAGCATTTGTATCCCTTTACTAAATAAGAGGCAGGATCTAGTTGTGTGCAGATTAGCTTTAGACATTCGCAGCTGTTGCATCCACAACTTCATTTGATATATTTTTGTGTGTAGTTTAGTCCCTCTTTCACTGTGAAAAAGGTTCTGTTTGCTTACAGTTACATTCTTTCTGTTTCAGTAAAAGCCTGCTTCCGGGTGCAACGGTACCCCGTCCCCGATTATGAGGAATCTTGTGATCTCATAAATTTCTGGCATAAACGGTTTTTTTGATTGTGTAATACCACCGGAACCGGTCTTATGAGGAGCTTCAAAGGTGTTATCTGAAATCCGACGGAGTGCTATTTCTGAACTACGCTTTCTCATGTGTCCTTGAGAAGTGTTTGAATCCATGCTCTTTGAAATAGGGATTGCTCTAATTTATTGTTGTTGCGGTGGCACAATTTTTAGATGATAAACACGTCGTTATATTTGGAGTTTGTTGTGTAGTCCATAACAACTTCCAGATGATGCACACGCTTTTAGACATTAGTATTCATGGTAGTTCCACAATAAGTGATAATTTTCTATTATTCAATGGTCAATTAGTAAAGTCAGCAGGATTATTCGCTACCTGAGCTTGGAATTTGTTAGAGGTTCGGAACGACTGCTAGTCCAAGATTCTTCTTACCCTGATGAGCAACTTCAGCTATATTCTGGAATTTTAATTAAGATTTTCTTGGTCTATTAAAGTTTATTTGATCAGCAAACTCATTTGTGGTGATTGTTTCTACGTGCTCTAGGAATTCCTTGGCAAGCTTTTCTGTCTGGAAACAAATGGAATAGAGTTACATTCAGTCGCATTTGTAGAATAAAGTCTTGCTCATCTATGTATGTCACTTTGACTTATACATCTATAATATCTTTTTGTCATATCTCGGATTTGACAAAAGTTGATTTAGTTTTAATAATTTCAAAATTAGTGATTATATGGTGTAGTTTAAAAACTATTAACAATATGGAATATTTTTTTAAAAGAAACAATCATGTGATTTAGATAGATAGATAGTGAGAGAATTGTTATTGCTACATCATTAATTGATATTAATGCATCCCACATGATATTATAGACAATTATCAAATAATATGCTTTGTTTTTTTTGTGCATTTTTACCTTTCTTTGCTTTCAAAAATAAATTGGCTAATGTTCTCTACTTGCTCATCAATTACAGCTTGACTTCTATTTTGGCCTTCTTCCATTTGTGAGCTATTCATCTTCAAACTAATAGAACAAGTACAAGCATTGTGTCCAACTTGATCACATTTTCTACATTTTTTTTTGTCTAACCTCACAACCCTCTACAACCTCAAATATAAAAGGATCTCATTACATAGATGATGCTTGTATATGGTTCAAAACTCCACAAAGATGTCCTCTTGGTTGCTAAGGGATCAAATTATTTGGAGTACAAAAGCATTGTAATGCTAGTTGGATTAGTATTTTTTGTATGGCAATCTGTTGATCTAAATCTAAATTAGTATATATGTATTAACAAGCAATGTGAAAATTGAAGTGATTACAAGATGTTGATTTATCAAAAAAAGAAGAGAAATTAGCAAAGGAGGCAGAGAATCAAAATGCTATTAAAGATGGAAGTTATTAATGTGCAATATACCATCTCTTACAAGATGAATCAATATTATATGCTTAAAAGGCATTTCAAATGAGGCAATAAAATGTCTAAAACATATCTCTTGTAGTCTTGTTCTCTTGAATTGAAAGGTATGGACCTTTAACAATACAAAATGTAATACCTTCTTCACTAGTAGATTATAAAATTACTTACCAATATCCAACCAAAGTTACATCTTTTTATATCCAATCTTTGCCTTTGATTCTCTCTTCTAGTGATTAAGATATATGATGATCCAATGATGAATAGTATAAAAATCAAGTGAAGATACTTGAAGCCATTGTCTCAATGTTAAGTGACCACTTTCTATGCGAGAGGTGATGATGTTGCCAAAGTGGAAATATTAAGAGGATCAAGATGGAACAAAGTGTTTCTTGAAAAATACTCAAGTTGTGAAAATATAACTGATAACATTCAAGTGACTAACTTCATATTTTGTCTTGAATCTTTTAATGCTTTTGTAAAAAGGTTCTATTGTATAATTCTTTTGACTTGGTTTAGCTATTGGTGAAAGATTATTCATTTTTCATGTCAGAAGTTGCATTTATTATATGCAAAAATATTCTCATTAATATGTAACACTCAAAGTAGATTTGTAGATGAACGAAAAACAATTTGCAATGGAGATATGAATACAAGTTTGGAGCTAGTCACAAAGGTCTTTGACATGATTCCATCAACAAAAAGTTTTTGTACTCATTTAAGAATCCAAAAGTAATTTGATTCTTTTTCTTTTAAAAAAAAAAGAAAAAAAAAAGAAAAAAAAAGAAGAAGAAAATATAAAGCTTAGTGATGTCATACCTACAAAATGTAGCAAGAGCATACAAAATATGTTGGTCTTATAGGTACAATCTAATAAGAAAACATAATGATAGTTGTAAGTCAAGCAAATCAAAGATGGATATGCAAAGAAGAAATGTGTCAAGGAATTTGATAAGATATTGCATATGTAGTCAAATTGATAGTAAGAGGCTTGCATTGTATTAAAGAGCACAACAGTGGAATTATGGCCTTATTGTCTCTCACACCACATAGTTGCACATTCAATATACATATTTGTTAAAATATCTAGTATATTGACATTTTCCTATTTAATAGAGGATAACATTGTAATTCACTTCGTTCTTGCAAGAAGAAGATTCTAAATATTTTATCATACTATAATTACCTAGAATATATAAAAAGTTAAAAATAAAATAAAATATAATACATTCATGTCTTAATGTATGTTAGAATGGTTAATAAATTAATTTAAAGAGAGTTGATATATGAAACTTTATTTTGGTTTATTATTTTATCATTTTTTTAAAATTTGATAATAGCATCTAAATTATATGGAACCTAGATATTAAATATTAAGCCTTGAGAAGAGGTTTGAATCCTAAAAGTGAAAAAATTAAATTACTATGAAATTAATTTGGAAGAACAAAAACAAGGCATAGAAGGATGAAGATAAGAAATGGATGTTTGCATTCCTATTCATTAATCGTCATGTCTAACAAGCTTTAAACATATTTTTTGCAAGCATATTAGAATTATGAACAACTTCAAAAGGGAAATTTGACAAAAAATAGAGAGATTATAAAGCTTAGGTTTTGGACTACAATTTACTTATAAAATTGATAGAATTTGGAATCGGAGTAAAGAAGATATAGTTTTTTGAAGTTTAAATATGGATTTCAGACATATTTTTATTTTTTTAAGAATGTAAAGAGTTTTTAAAAATAATTTTGTGATTTTAAGAATTTTTGGAAAGGTAATTTTAAGTTCTATGTCTTATATAGAAGAATTTTTATATTTGGAATTCAAATAAATGAGATATAGCAAGTTGAAAGCAATGCATCTAAATTTAAGGCAATAAAGAAACCATTTTATTTATAGTGATGGTTTGAGCCATATTTTTAACTTTTAAATAAAATTTTGGCACAAAATTTTTTAAAATATAAATTATTATATTAAAAAACTACATACCAAATTTTGTGGTGTTTGAAAACGTGGTGTTTGAAACCATTGTTAGGATTTTGGTGATATTTCAAGATTGGCAATAAATCTATAACTAAAATTTATTTTGATAGTTTTTAATACTATATTAGTATTTTTTGTAAGTTTTGAGTCTATTTAGATGGTCCAATTAAGAAATGTAAGTTATTAAGGTTTAGAAAAAATCTCCTTCAAAGATAAATAAGCATTTAAAATATTTTATCATATTTTGGATATTCTTATACACTGATAACTTATGTATCTAATGTAATTGCTCCTATAAGAAAAAAATTTATATAATTAAGAATTTTTTTCCTATCTTAAAATTTGATTGAATAAGTAATGACAATCAAAAGCTAAAGGCTTTCTTGATGCAAATTCTTTCTACCTCAACAAAGCATGTACATATAAGGATTGAGGTAGTATATTGTAGCATGGACATATATATATATATATATATATATATATATATATATATTTATTGTTTATAGATAGTTGTGTATATTGATGTTTATTGAAAACAATCACTTCTTTGATGTTTTATCATATGATACAATAGTTTCAAAAAACCATTGATTGGGCATATATATTCATATTATGTATTGGATATGGTTTTATTAACATGTTATTCTTCTTGTTACATTTGCATCAAATTTTTTTGTTTTCTAATAATCATTGTAAATAAGAGATTTTTATATCTTTGAAAAAGATGGTAGCAACTACCTATTCTTCAAACCTTCAAAAAATTGAGTTATTGTCTTGGGCATTGTCTTTGGTCCTAACATATATCTTTAATCTTAAACCTCTAAAATTCAAATCTATAACCAAATCTAATTGTTTTAATTAGATTTGATAGAAATTTGTATATACAATCACTTGATTTATAAAACGTGTCTATTAATTTAATCCAAAAATATCCATACAATACAAGATGTAACAATATAGGATTTTATCTCTTTCAATATAATGGATTCTAATACCAAATTTATATTAATAGGAATAATATATATTGGCCTTAAATTGGCCTCTCAAGCTTTTTTTGGCCCATATAATTCTATCTTTGATCTTATACATCCTCCTACAACTTTCTAACAAGAACAAGAGTACAAACAACACCAACAACATACTTAAGAGTCAAAGAAGAGAGAAAATTGAAAGTCCTTAAAATCCACCCAAATCCTAGTTGCTATCCTAATTCTAATATTTTTTCTAACTAGATCTTCATCATTTTTGATCTTTATCTATCTTAATTTTCATCTATTTAAATCTTTATCCATTTTAGTTTTTATCCAATTAGTCAAATATTATTATTATAATTTGTATAGTAACTATCTAAGATCTATCTTTAGACTGAAATTTTTACTAGTATAAGTTATTGGTCCACTAAATATCAGATTAAGAATCACTTGACAATGATGTAGCCATGAAAAAAAGAAAATTGTTGAATATTAGTGATGAGATCTTTGAGTGAGTTGTTTTGGCTATCAAGAAGAAGATCCATATTGCAATGTAATTCTACACATTTGCTTCTTGTTATTAGATTATCTCTTGTTCTCTCTTGCTTGTTTTTTCTCTATCTTTCTTACTTATTTTAGTTTTAGTTTTTTTTTTTTTTTTTTTTTTTTTTTTTTCATTCATTCTACTATCTTCTATCTTATTTTTTCTTCAATTTTTTAGATTATTTTTTTTTTCATTAATTAGCTTTTTCTTTATTTCTTTTTTTAGCTTATTCTTATTCTCTCACCTTTTTAATGCCTTTTTTAACCATGGGCTTAAACTCAATAATAACAACATTATTTTTTGCCATTAAACAATAAAAAAATTACACTATCCAAGAAAAGTTCTTTCTTTGTACTAAACATGTCTCAATTTTATATTCTTTTTTGCAAGGTGAGGCTTGGATACAAGAACTTTTTTCTTTTCCAATTACATCTTGATTTAAAGAATAAGCAAGAATATCCAAAGCATTTTCTTCAAGTTGTGTAAATTTTTATATAATAAAAATTTTACTATGTCTTTAGTTGAATTTTAAGTTCTCTTATTTTATTATATTATTGGAGAGAAAACAAAAAAGAAGAGACGA